TACAAGTTCTGTTTGAAAAGTAATGGAGCTGGTGTCACAAAAAGAATTCATTTTAATTCCAAGCAACAAACTAAATGGTTTCCCCTTTAAAGTAATCCCCCTTGATACACTTTTCCATCCTTCTCTACCATACTTTGATGTACTTCTGGAAGGATTCTTCTAGCCTGACCCTCAGCTTCATCGTTATGACCCCCACTTGATGGCCACCATGCATTCAAAACGGGTACCCTTGATGATCCCCCTGAGCTTGGGGAAAACAAAAAAGTCACAATTTCTCCTGCCACAACTCTTGTCTCTTCTTGAAGACTGAGCAAAGCAAATGCTACAGTATCTCTTTGTAGACTTGTCGATCGAATGTCTGGTTCTGTGATAAGAACTCACTGTTGATGATGCCACTCACATTGAAGAACTTCATTGTTACTTTTCAGACAGACCTTGTTAACTGAACAGCACTGCTTTTGACTGACATTTATAAAAACTTTTTCTTAACACAATTTTTCAGGAAAATATCTTTCTCAAGTCCAGTAACTATTATCACTCTTTCCAGTATTGATGGGCTTTTCTTCCTAACCTTTCATTTGAAGTAGTTTAGAATGTCAACGTCTTGATTATTTCCTTATTTTCTCTTCTCAAGTCCAGTAACTATTATCACTCTTTCCAGTATTGATGGGCTTTTCTTCCTAACCTTTCATTTGAAGTAGTTTAGAATGTCAACGTCTTGATTATTTCCTTATTTTCTCTTCTCAAGTCCAGTAACTATTATCACTCTTTCCAGTATTGATGGGCTTTTCTTCCTAACCTTTCATTTGAAGTAGTTTAGAATGTCAACGTCTTGATTATTTCCTTATTTTCTCTTCTCAAGTCCAGTAACTATTATCACTCTTTCCAGTATTGATGGGCTTTTCTTCCTAACCTTTCATTTGAAGTAGTTTAGAATGTCAACGTCTTGATTATTTCCTTATTTTCTCTTCTCAAGTCCAGTAAATATTATCACTCTTTCCAGTATTGATGGGTGTTTTCTTCCTTATTCTTTCATTTGAAGTAGTTTGGATTACCTACATTTTGATTATGCTGTTATTTTCTCTTTGAGTTTACTTGTGCTATCCATTTTGGTTGTTGCCATTGTTGGCAGCCTTCAAGTGATGTGGTTTCTGCTATTTGCCATAGTTCTTTGTTTGGGATTCTGTAGTGCCAGTCCACAATGTTTAAATAATAGTGGTCTTTGTCAAGATCCTCAGGGTTTACTTGCTCCAAGTCATTTTTAATCAGTGACATAGAATGCAGTTATATACAGCTGAGAGGTTGCTCTCCTTAATGTGGAGTCGAGAATAAACTAAAATAAATGAGTTTGATATTCTGTAGCCTTAAAGTTAACAAATTAATAGTTTTCTTCACTGATTATTTGAATAAAAATAAAAAATGAGAAAATTAGTATTCTCTCTTTTAATTTATCTCATTAATGGTTTTTGTTTTTGAAATTTGGATCTTATAAAGGCACATGTCTTTTGTCTTGAATGCTTAGCATTTGCTTAAAGAAATAAAAATGATACAAGATCAATAAATAGATAGCAAATTTTGTGTATATCTTGTTTTTCAATAAAAAACAAAAATTGCCTTGCTTCAAGGGAGTAGACAGCAAATGATTTCTGTAAAGAAAATATTTTTTAAAAAAGGACACTTTATAGATTAACCAGAAAAGTAGATATTTTAAACCTAAGGCGTTAATCGAATCAGGGACCTCATGTAGTGAGTTGAATGTACTTTTCCAAAATAGAGATGGAAATCAATCCATTTTTACCTCCAAAAAATAAGTAGCTTTGCTTTTCTGTAAAGTTTTCTTAGGTTGAGTTTATAATTTTTACTTTTTTTCTGAAAAATACATATTTTTTTGTGTAAAGTATTTCAGCTTCTGTTAAAAATTATAGCAGTTCCACCAATTAGTTATTTATAAAGCATGGAATTTTCTATTGTATATATGAGTAACTTGATCAAGAAGTCACTTCTAGGTCACAGGCAATAACATTTATCATGTATGTATACATATATATCTATATCCAAACAAGTTTGATCAAAAAGAACTAACAAGGTCTGTTTGTTTAATTTCTTTTTTCCTAATTTTCTGATTATGCTTGAAGTTGTGGATAAACTGTATGAAGTTCATATTGACTATCTCTGTTCAAGTACTTTTGACTTTCACAGTCATTACCAAGAACTGATGCGGTGTCTGAGTGGTAGTTAAAATTCATTTCTCGAACACTAATAATCAAAAAAAAAAAAATGAAATACTTACATTGGGTACACATGCATCACACTCTCTCACAAATTGACCTGTCACCTGTTAAAACCCAGTGCAATCCATGCAGACATCAACCAGCAAATCATGAATGACAAAAATATAGCTATCAACATAAGACAAATATTAGTACATAACACCAAATACTCTACAGCAAGCAAAGATGCAAAACATTACAAGCTATTATTATATAAAATAAACAGTGCACATTAAATAAAATATCATTCACCACAAGTGTTGGTACCTTGAGGTGCATATTATATTATTAATGTGCACATTAGTATTAAAAATATAAAAAAAATAAAAAAATTAATAAATAAAATAAATAAATTGCATACTTTTTGTGCGGTCTTGTTCTCAATAGTCGTTGCACATGACGTCATGCTAGACCATTTCTAACATCCAGCTTTCCAATGAATATCAGGGTGCAAACAAGGGAATTTTAGCACGTACACAGACACCACATTGTTTCTTGATAATGACTGCAAAATTCAAAAGTACATGAACAAAATATGAACTTTGGACAGTTTATCCACAACTTTCAAACATCCAGCTTCCCAATGAATATCAGGGTGCAGACAAGGGAATTTTAGCTACTACGCAGACACCACATCTGTTTTTAAAAATGACTGCGAAATTCAAAAGTACATGAACAAAATATGAACTTTTGGACAGTTTATCCACAACTTTGAGTGCAATACTTATCGCCTTATGCCAAATTTGAAAAAAATATAATAAAAAATTAATGACCAACCTTATCGGCTCATTTTAATCAAACTAAATATACCTTATATACTCAACTCTCAACTCTCCCATCATATTCAACATATGAGGGTCAAGCAGATCAGTTCCTATCAACCAACAGACCAACACCAGCACATGAGATTTGATTACAGTGGTGAAAGTTTTGTGTAGAACCATCCACACTTTTTGAAGGCCTAAATACAGAGACCTGGTGCACTACGTGCCACAAGGTCCCCAAACAACCCTCTGCAGGTTTTGAATTCAGAGTTGTCCTTCTTCTAGATCAGTTGCCATCATACAAGGCTATAGAACCCAGTCTGTCCTGCTATTTACCCATAGCTGAAGGGGGAAGAGGATTCATACCTTTTCCAAGGGTATTAGCACGTAAGTGAATGTAATGGATTCGACTGGAATTTGAACTTGGCTCTTCGATTCCTCAATCCAAGCTGCTCCACATTACTCCACCATGCCACCATATATATATATATATATATACCTTACATAATTATATATATACCTTATATACATATATATATATATATATATATATATATATATATATATATATATATGGCCACACTGATGAGCTGTGATACAGCAAAACAGTCTGTCTGTGGATGACAATATATATATGCTTCCAAAAAATTTAATTTCAGTTGAGCACTCTGGAGATTAAGTGTGAATTTGTAAACCACAGTGACTACTACTGCTGATAATGTAAAGCTCTTCCATGAATTGAGCCCTATATGTCACTGGCATGTAAAGAAAAAATAAGCAAAAATTCACCTTTCTCACTACTGGATGCTGATAGCTTAGGGGTAAAATCTCTGACTGATGCCAAATCAGTAGGGTTTCGATCCTGGCTTGCGGCATTCGGATGTCTACCTACACTGATGAGCTGTGATACAGTGAAACAGTCTGTCTGTGGATGAAATATATATATATATATATATATATATATATATAAAATCTTATCTGAAACAATCTGGACTATCTGTAGACCAATGGGAAAAAATGGCTTTGGATAGAAGTAAGTGGCGGAAAATAATTCACGAAGGCATTGAGTCCTTTGAGAATAGCCGTATGCAGTACAGTGCCTACAAACGTCTGATTTGTAAAAGCGAACAGGGTCCAGCACCGGGTCCACAAATTCACCCCGCTAATTGTGAAATATGCGGAAAATTGTGCCTATCTTTTGCCGGCTTCAAAAGGCATTTGCGTAAATGTGCAAAACCTAGTGTGCAACCGAATAATGTCACTGTAAACAAAACTGATTGGGTATGCCAATTCTGTGGCAAAATTTGTCGCAGTTTGGCTGGCCTGAAGAGTCACCTGCGAATACATAGAATTTGAGGGGAGTGGGGGTGAGAACATGAAATAAAGGAGGTGGTCACGCTTGAAACTGAGAGGACAGCCACGATACACATATATATATATATATATATATATATATATATATATATATATATATATATATATATATATAACTGCTTGGTATTGGTAACTGAAGTCATTGCATATTTCTTTTCAAGATACCATTAATAGATGTCATGCAAGTTAAAAAAAAATGCAGGGATTTTGGAGGCTGATAGTCAAGCCCTTGTTGTATTAAAGATTGATAAAAAAATTCTTATCTCTATTTGATCTTGATCCACATGTAAAAATTAAAATTAGCAAATATTAGTATAATTTGCTGTGTTGTTGTTGGCTGAGATAGAATATTTCCTGATGGTGCCTGCATTTGCATCTAAACAAAAGCTAAAATTTCAAATAACAGTTTTTAAGTATGAACTTCTCCATTTGGATGTTTGGTGCTACACAATCTTTCTATCCCCATTTAGCCCTACAAGAATCTAGAGCTGTAAAGAACAATAAAAATATAGACTTTTCAGGGTTGTTGCTGGCGAAAGTAGAGAATTACCCAAATTTTGATTGATCATTTTCAAAGCAGGCTGGAGATTAAGGCCATATCATGTTGAAACACTGTTTTCCATACTATCAGTGAAGTTAAACAACATTGAGCCTGGTCAGTACCTAGATGGATGACCACTTGGGAATATCAGGTGCTGGTGATTCATGGGTAATCAATAATAGCTTGAAATTGTTAATCAGAGAGCCAAGTTCCTATTCCAAGTTTGTTATATTCACTTACGGACAAATATCCTTGGAAAAAGTATGAATTCCCCTCTTCTCCCCCAGCTATGAGCTAATTAGTAAGACTTGTATCACTAAAACCATTATTATCTCATAAAAATTGCATACAAAATATTTAGATTTCAGCATCAAATAGCCCATAGAGCTAAACAAATACAATCAGCCAATATTGAGTGGCTTTTCATCATTGTATTGGGTGATCTTTCATATGATGAAATATGACTTGAAATAATTAATAAAATAACGTCACTTAATGAGACGTTCATGAAATTATGTTTCACTTCAAGGTTGTGTAAATGACTTGGCTAAGATCAACTTCCTGTCATTTATAACACTTAGTAAAGTTTGTCTTTTTTGCTATCCCTCCCACCCACTTTCCGTCATCAAGCTGGTGAAGTAATCGACCCACTGCCATCCCTGTCTCTTTCAGTTTTGATATATCCTATAAGTGTTTAATTCTCCAAGCCTTCCTTCCTAATTATGTGCCCAAGAAATTTCAACTCTTTCTGATTTTGAGTACAAGTGGCTATTTTGTTTCCACAAAAGTCTGTTTGCAATTAAAAAAAAGTTTATTACCAATTAAAAAAATGTTTGTTACCACTTAAAAATGTTTTTTACCAATTAAAAAATGTTTGTTAGCAATTAAAAAAATGTTTGTTACTAATTTAAAATTTTTTTAAAAAATTTTGTTACCAATTAAAAAATGTTTGTTATCAATTAAAAAATGACTTTATCAATTAAAAAATGCTTGTTAACAATTAAAAATATTCTTATTTACATTATTTACTTATCGGCCTAATGTCCTTGTCTTTTTTGTTATTATCAAAATGCCTCAGCCTCTGTATGCATCAGCCGTCTTCAGGTATCTGTCAGTTCAGGCAACCTTCTGGTAATTTTGAACTGAACACTTTATTTAATCTATAGGGATATATTTTCTCATTCTGCTGCCCATGTCTAAGGATATCTCATCTTATTCTTTTTAGAACTGTTCAGTTATTGCTTGCTCTGTTTCTGCTAAATCTGTGTCCATATTACTCAACCCGGGGGCTGAACTGACAATTAATATGCCACCAAATTCACAAACTTACACTTTAATCTATGAAGCTATTATCCATTCAAAATCCTTACATTTTGAAAATTAGTCCAAGCATCAAACACTGGTACATTGTGATAAAATATGCAAATACTTCAGCCACCACCAAATAGATTTCATTCTAAAGGTTATCCTGATCAACAGACTCCTAAACAAGGCCAAAGAGCATAATAAATAATAATGATATTAGTCCAAATGTAAATAATAATTTCTTGTTAGGCAGTGGCATAGCTAAGGTTACCACCCCGGGTGCCAGCACAGGAGGGGTGACACAATGTCACCTCCAATAAAATTTTTCAACCAGGCTAAGGTGCCAAAAATAGTCTGAAAACAGTGGTGGAGACACAGGGTTTCACAGGCGGGCATATGACTCTCCAGAAATAATTTATGACCCCCCACCAGTTTTGTCCCCCCCCGTCAGAAATTTTCTAATAAATTGTCAGGAAATTTATGAGTATGAAAAATAGCAATGTTTTCAGCTTTTGATTTGAACTGATTATTTTGTGGTATTGGCTTTTGTCTTGGATCATACATGTAAACAGTAACGTACCGGTCAGTAGAGTAAAGTAGAGGTAGAGCATGTATGAAAATTTAGCTACAGCTAACCATTCAGCATAGTGTGAACGGGGTCATTGGGGTGACATTTGAGCGGACCGCCCCGGGGTGACATTTACTCTAGCTACGCCATTGTTGTTAGGTTAACTTTCCTTCTCCTTCCCTAATTAGGATGCACCATACTTGGCAGGTCATGTGACCTTTAACAGCTAGTCAGTGACACCTTAGCCTGGAGGGCAAATCATTTTAGAGTAGATGCCAGGAAGAAAAGATGCTCTCTGACATGTGAGAAAAGCACAACATCTTGCAACATGAGGGGCTGAATTTGTGAGTAAGGAGAAACTTTTGTAATATTCACTAGCTTTCATCTTCAGGGTTTGGGAGAAGGCATGTAACACATTTCTACAGTTTGTTCTCTTTCTATAAAATAAAACCTTCATTTATGTTTTAACTTTTCTCTAGATGTATCTATATTTTTATTTTAATGCTTGCATAAATAGCTGTACTTATGACAGGTACTATTAAAACCGTTTGTATATATTTGGGATACCCAACATCAATTAGTAAACCCTAACATTATCCTCATACTAGAAATTCAGAGAGAAAATTAGCCATTAATTTAATGAGACTAGTATCTTTATCTTTCTTGTTTTAGTCACAATTTTGAATTATACACTTTCCCCAAAACGAGGACAATACTCAAATGTAGTATAACTATAATTTATTAATTACCTGTCTATTGGTCAGAATATCTCAGGTGCAATCAAACTTTTAGAAATGGTTAGCATCATACATGGTCTGGATTTTGATTTTTTTCCTTCCTAAATGAAACTGATGCCAATCGCACATGAAGTGTTTCCACTGTTATTATTTATAAGAGAGTAAAGCCACTAAGACACAAGGAGTTACAGGGTGTGTAAGAATTAGGGACAGAAACATTACAAATGATCGGAAAGAGAAAAGAGTAACCAGGAAGACAGTAGATATTAATTGGTATTGCATTTAAATTTTTGCAGATTAAAGTTGGCTAGAAAGCATGGAGCAGAAAGGGTGTTCCACAAGCAAGAACTGTGAGAAAAGAAACTTAGTATAGAACTTATTGCTACATCTAGCTAGCACAACTGTTAACTGATAATATCTTGATGGCAGTCTAGTACTGCGCTTGAATTCAAAAGGCTAGGTACCATACCAAAGAGCTCATCAAAACAATTACCATGAAAGTATTTTAGAAAAGGCACAGGGAAGAAACCTTACAGCAGTGGGAAATTGACTGAAGCCAAGCTGCCAGATCAGAACCAATAATATTGCTGATTCTTCTTTGGATCTTATCAAGGTGCTCAAGGTAAATAGCAGGGGCACCGGGCCATATGTGGCAGCAATATTTTAAGCATGGGCAAATGGTAGATCTATAGATATATATATAGATAATTAAATAAAAATAAACATGATTTATTGCAATTATGAAAATTAGTATTTGTAATCAAATAAAGATATTTACAAGACTTATCACAGACTAGTATAAGATTGTTTTTGAAAATTGATATTTGAAATCTGAAACCAAACACCAATCCCTGGCACTTAGAGAAACTATGCAACTTCTCCAGCCACAAGACAGGTCACAAGAGTGTATTTCTATTGATCTTTACTTATTTTAGAAGATTACAATATGGGAAGAGCTTGTTTACCTCTGAAAACAAATCTGGGATATTTCACCAGCACTGGTCTGAAATCCACATCTCCTTGATCTATGAGATAAGCGACTTATAGATACAAATCTTAGATTAGTGCAGTGCCAGGTAAAATGTAGAAAATTGAAGAATGTGTTGTGCCAGTCTTCCAAGTTTTTTGGGTTTTTTTTTATCTGGGATTGGGCATCAATCAAATGGCAATTGCAGGAAATAAGTGTCTCAGTTTAATTTTGTTTTATTTAGAACTTAATATACATATTGAAATCAAGACGGACAGAGGAAAGCAGTGAGAAACCTATCAAATGAATTTGTGAAAATGGATGGAAGTACAGAGTTTGGGCTGTATAGAAAAAAGATAGAATTTACTAAGAGCTATAAAGGTAGGAAGCTGTAGAAAGCCTAGTCCAGAAGGAACACTGCATATACAAGAAGAAGTTTTTTTCAAAATGGTCTAAGTATAAAAAAATACAAAACTGAACTGACAAAGCAACTTGTGTTTTCAAATCACTGACAATGTTGTGATATTTTCCAGTCTCCATGGCAGCAGAATATAGCATAAGATCAATTTAATGTATGGTGTCCACAGGGCCCCGGTGCAAAGGTCCTGTGCCACACAGTCTATAGGGCCCACATTCTATTACATGTCAATTTTCATAAGGTAGTATTCATATAAAATAGAAATTTTATTGTAACAAATTTTATTGTACAAAAATGATTCATATGCAATATAGGTGAACAATTCTTCTAGAAGAATTTAAGATAAATGCAATGTATCTAAAGACAAATTAAAGACATGTCATTTTTCCATCTTAAATAAATCAACAATGTTTTATGGCAATTTTTACATCAAATTGATACTTTTCTTGTTAAAAAGTTGAAAAATTTGAAGACATTCAACATTGTAGATAAAAAATAGTGAATTTTATATTGTTTTATTGAGAGCATGAGAAAAAGTAAGTTCACAGATTTGGATGAATAAAAAGAATTTTCATCTTTTAATAGTCAGTTGTGTTTAGTTTAATTTGTAACATACATAAATGTAAGTAGAAAATGTGGATAAGATAGCAAGGGTCACAAAGTACTGCCAATGCCCCACAATCAAGCTACCCACAGGTTTTGTGGATAGTAGGTGCCATCCCTGGGTGTCCACATACATACATATAAGCCAAGAACAAAAACTGATCAGTCTATGAAACATATCGTTATCAATATCAGACTGATACTCTCTGTGTAAGGTAATACTGTCACAGAGTTGGCATCCTTGGAATCAGGCTTATGAAGAAAATCAGATTGAACACCTTCATCCAAAATTGAAGTCTGGACCTTAATAATTTCATGGAAAATGTAAAAGTCATGAACCCAAACCTTTCTAGCCTTTTTATTCGTATTATTTATCATGATAGTTAATGGAGCCTGGGAAGAGGGTAATCCTGTGTAAGTGGTGTAATGCAATAACCTATCACCCCACTCCCATGAGTGACTACACTATAGGTAGTAGCTATCTATAAGTATCCGTAAGTCAATGAACTACAAAGACTAGCTGGGATCTGTTACTCAGCTCTTAGCTGTTGTCAAACTC